TGCTTAATATCATTAGTCATGAGAGAAATCAAAACCACAATGAGGTATTACTTCATACCCACGGGAATGGCAGTAATTAAAAAGACGTACTAACAAGTGTTGGTGAGAATATGATGAAATCAGAACCCTCATATATTGCCAGTGGGAATATAAAATGGTACAGTCATTTTGGAAAACACATCACATGGCCTAGCAATTCCACACCTATATATATACCCAAGAGAAATAAAAACGTTATGTCCACACAGACTTGCATATGAATATTCTTAGGAGCATTATTCATAATAGCTAGAACATGGAAACAACCTGAGTGTCCCCCTCAGCTGGTAAATGGATAGACAAAATGTGGTATATTCATTCAGTATACTATTTATTACTCAACAATAAGAAGGAATGAAGTACAGATACATACTACAACAGGGATGAATCTTGAAACATTGTGCTATGTGAGAGAAGGCAGTCACAAAGTATGTATATTGTATGATTTCATTTATGTAAAATTCCCAGAATAGACAGAAAGTAGATTATTAGTTGCCTAGGGCTGGGGTTGGAGGGTAGAAAATATGGAGAGTGACTTCTAATTGTTACCAGGTTTCATTTTGGGATGAAGAAAATGATCTAAATTTTGATTATGATGGTTGCATAATTCTGTTGATATACTAAAAACCATCAGCTGTACTCTTTAAGCAGTTGAACTGTATAGCATATAAATTATATTTCAATAAAACTATTTAAAAAGGCAGCTAATGGAAGAAAGTCCTAATACCTATAAAGCAATGAATTTGGAGTGATAACTTGACTTCTTAATAGCTTTTTTAGCCAGAAGATGGCTGAGAAAAGTATCTCTTAACCTAGAAAATTTCTTTTAATAATGAGCAATAATATTTTTAAAAATTGTTGAGATATTTTTAGATAAAAATTGAGTTTGCCACCAACCCAAATCCTACTAAAATAATTTTAAATGTTGGATTTTAGGCAAAAGGAGATTTCTGATAATATCTGAGATGCAGGAACAAGTAACAAAGTTAGTGACGAATGTGGGGGTAAATCTAAACAAACACGGACTGTAAAAATGTAATGGTGAGTTAAAAACAAAATCGGGAAGAACTGAAATACATGACAGTAATGTGTATGTCAAGGGGATGGTGGCTGAACTTAAAGTGTCTTAAGATCCTTCTGTTATTCAGAAAGAATGTAAGCATAGGTTGACTTTAGACTTAGGTAAACCATGTATCAGAAAATCTACTGGACTTAAAATATTAAATATGATGAGTGAATAAAAAAAATGTAAGTATGCTATACTTTCTAGGGTAGTAACCTAAGGATTAGAAATAAATGAAATAAACATAAAATAAATATAAATAAAGGTATAACTTTTAAATGAGTAGAGGCAACAAAATAGAATAAAAAATGGAATTGGAAAAAAATTCATTCAAAAGGCAAGAATTAAAAGAGAAGTAATAGAAATGGCAGTATATTTAGAAAGCACAAGGTAAGATGGTTGAAATAAAATCACATATATCTGTAATGATAATAAATGCTCCATTTAATTTTATCAGACAGGACAAAAGATTCTGGGTATATGCTATTACAAGAGACATCTACAACATAAAGTTAATGATACATTGAAAGTGAAAAAAAGATACACCAACCGAATATTAACTTAAGAAAGGTGTCATAGACTTTATGGCAAGGAAACCATTTTCAAGCCAATAAATATAGATTATTGCACTCAGTAATTTTTAGATACAGATTCTTTTCTAGCACACAGTATACAAAGCACATTTATGATAACTGATCACATACTCTGTCATAAAGCAATCACACCAATTTCAAATAATTAGTATCAAACAGACCTTATTCTCTATTCACAAAGCAAACAAGCAAGAAAAAAACACAAAGATAACTAGGAAACATCCATATATATTTAAAGATTTTATTTATTTATTTGACAGACAGAGATCACAAGTAGGCAGAGAGGCAGGCAGAGAGAGAGGGAGGGAAGCAGGCTTCCTGCTGAGCAGAGAGCCAGACTCAGGGCTCTATCCTAGGACCCTGGGATCATGACCTGAGCTGAAGGCAGAGGCTTTATTTAACCCACTGAGCCATCCAGGCACCCCAACATCCATATATTTTTAGAGTAAGAAGCAAATTTCCAAATTATTTGTGAGTTGAAGAATAAATAATAATGGAAATCAGAAAATATTTATGACGGAATAAAAATGTCAATACTACATATCAAGCTAAAATGTTACAGGGAAATTTATAGTTTTAAGACACATATATGGAAAGAAAAAGGAGTGAAAATTAGTGAGATAAGTATCCAACCAAAGAAAGCAGTAGGAAGGAAATTCAAAAAATAAGCGCTCAAATTAATGAAATAGAAAATAAAAATGTTTGGGGTGCCTGGGTGGCTCAGTGGGTTAAATAAGTGTCTGCCTTCCGCTCAGGTCATGATCCTAGGGCCCTGCGATTGAGTCCCAGGTAGGGCTCCCTTTTCGGCAGGGAGTCTGCTTTTCCCTCTGCCTCCCCTTCCCACTGCTTGTGATTTGTCTCTCTCTCTCATGTGCTCTTTCTCCCAGATAAATAAATGCAATCTTAAAAAAAAAAAAAAAAGGAAAAGGAAAAGAAAATAAGAATGTTGGATGATCGACACAGCCAAAATTGGCTCTTTGAAGAGATTATTTAATGTGACATGCCTCTGCAGAGCCACATCAAAGAAAAGAGTAAAATTAAAGAATATTAGGAATGAAATAGAAGAGTCATAGATGCCATAGGTATTGAAAGATAAATGGGTTTTATGAAATTTTTTCTGCTAAGAAAAGGTGAATATTTAGATAAAATGAAAAATTCTTAGGAGAAAAAACTTATCAAAATTGACTCAAATAATTAGAAACACAAATATTTCTGTAACCATTGAATAGAAGAAGTAAGTAACAGTCCTTGGAGAAAGAAAATGCCAGCTTTACTGGTGATTTCTAAGTGAAAGTTAACAGTAAGAAAATTTCAGTTTTATGCAAACCATTTCGGAGCACATTAAAAGAGTGAGCACTCCATTTAGGAGGCGAACTTGGTACTAAAACCTGATGAGGACAGCACAAAATGGGAAAATTACAAACCAGTCTTATCCATAAATATAGATGAAAGATTCTGACAAAATATTAGTAAGCTGAATCCAGTAACATATAAAAATATAATACATCAAGACCAAGTGGGGTTTTTCATAGTTGTGCAAGGAGAGCTGAGTATTGTAAAAATTCATTAATGTAATTCATTTCAATAACATATTAAAGGTGAAAGATGTGATAAATCATGAGAAGCAGAAAAAATGTTTATTAATATTAAGCATTCCTTAATGATTAAAAAAAACCCAACTCTTGGCAAAGTTGTAATAAAAGGGAACTTTCTGTAACTTAAGAGTGCCTATAAAAAGCTAAAGCAAACATCAAACTTAATGATGAAACACTGAAATTCTTGCCTTCAAGACCAGGAACAAGGTGAAAATGAGCCACAGTTTCTTCTAGGCCTCTCTGTCTTTCTGCATGGCCTGTCCATGTGGCTGGTATGGCCTTCAGAGCATCATGGTCAAAGGGTGGCTGGATTTCTAACATGGTGGCTGGCTTCCAGCTGGAGGAGACTAAATGTGCCTGTCCTCCTACAGACAAGGACTAGAACTAACACTTTGGCTGCATTTACTGGTTGAAGCAAGCCACAATTTAGCCCAAGTTCAAGGGGAGAGTAAACAGACTCCACCTTTAGTTGTGAGTACCCTATGTGTGTACAAGCAGGAAGAACTTGGTGGCAGTCATCTCTGGAGATCATCAACCACAACTATCAGGCTGGTAAAAATGTAAAAGTCTGGTGACGCAAGATGTTGACAACAATGCGGAGTGATTGGCACACTTACACACTCCTTGTGACCCTGAATATAACAGCATTGGTAAACATTTTGGTGTTATCTAGTAAGGTTAAAGATGTGCATACTATGTAGTCCAGCAATTTAACTCCTAGGTCATTTTGCTATGTGTACCAGGTGATATATATATATATAAGAATATTCAGAATAGCATTTTTTGTTCTAGCAAAAAACCTGGAAACCAACCAAAATGTCTATTAACAGCAGAATGGGCAAACAAATTGTGGTGCAGTCTTACAATAGAATTCTGTACTTCAGGGAAAATGGGCAAATTGTATGTACAATAACATGATTTAATCTCTAGGACATAAGATTGAGTAGAAAAAAGCTAGGTACTAAAAAAATATACAGAACAAATGAAGTTTAAATGCAAAACACATATGTAAAAACAAGCAAAGAAATGACAAACACACAATTTAGGGTGGTAATTATTTCTGCATTAAGAGAGAAGGAGATAGAAATGGGTTAGGACGTAGATAATTCTAACAATCTTTTTTGGTGATTTGAATGATGAATGTTTTTCATATTATTTTTCCTTATACTTTCTATAATTTTATGTTCTTTTGTGTCTTTTCAGTATTTAATATAAACAAAAAACCTTTAATACTTACTTTTTTGGAGGGGGTAGTGAGGATTCCTTTTTTTGCCAAATGATTGCTTTGAATGGTCATTTCCACTGTTGAGTAGCAGAGAAGGACCAGGGTATGTCTTGGGTTAGTTACCTTTACTAGCAACCCGTTGACCCTCCTGAGGATCTTGGTGAATAATTTATATTGCTTCAAGGATGAGGAGTGGATCTGGCTAGGAAGCCTTCATTCAATGTGACTCTTGGTCCTCAGTGGGATGGAAGATGTAAGGCAGTTTGCTGACCTTACTTTTCTGTTTTTTTATACTCTTGGCTATCTTTATAGAGCCTCTGCAGACCCATAAGAACTTCCAAGGCCATCTTTTCGGGCAAACTTGTTGGTTTGCCTTGTTGGATTAATGATCATTAGCTATTGAAAATTAAGAGAAATCAGCAGCTCACAAATGTAAAGAGTAGGAACTGTGGCTTCCAATTTCTTGCAATATTGTTGTTTTACAGATTGATCAGCTGAAGCAGGAGCTTTCAAAGAAGGAGTCAGAACTTCTTGCCTTACAAACAAAGCTTGAAACCCTTAGCAATCAAAATTCAGATTGCAAGCAACACATTGAAGTGCTTAAAGAGTCGCTTACTGCCAAAGAACAGAGGGCTGCCATCCTTCAGACCGAGGTAAGGCACTGTTTCAGGATTCCAGGCAAAAGACGTTGAGTTGATAGAAAATATCCTACCTGGACAGCTCTTTAGAAGATCCCTTATCCAACCCCTTGGGGCCAGATGTGTTTTGGATATCAGATGTTCCAGGGATTTTGGAAAGGTAAGACCCATACCACAGATTGCATAACACTCACAGTGGGGATATAGCAACACCCTATAACAATCAAATGACTATTTCTGCAGAAAAAAAAAACTGCTCACACTAATGTAGGGTAAGTAAAAACTGTGTAAATAGCATCCTATTAGTTCATGTCAGGTTGTGCCACCCCAAAAGAGTTTGTTTTACACTGGAATTTTTTTTTTTTTCATTTTTCAGGGTTTTTTTGGATTTGGGAACCATAAATAAATGGTTGGATCTATAATGGTATTTTCAAAATCATAAAAAAGTTGCAATGTCATCTGCCTTACTTGCTGTGTATCTGTATGGGTCCCTCTCTGTGATTCTAGGGGTTTTTTACTTCCTAAAGAGTATCCTCAATTTTCAAGATTCTTTTACCCATATAAGAAAGTTGATATTTGTGTGAGTTTCTTAAAAGAAATGTTGGTTTGTCTTATTCACACTTAGAAGAAAACCAAATACATGTTACTATCCTATTTCCTTGCTTCTCTTCATTGGATTATATCTTTGGGTGTGCTAAGAAAAGCAAAACACAAGCTATTTATGTAAGTAAAACAGTTGCCAGAAAATAAATTATTGCATGTGGACAATAGCAAAGAATGTGGTGAATCTCCCTGATTTGGGGGGTTAAGGTAGTATGTTTTGTGGGTTTCTGTGGGAGAAGCCAGTCTAATTGAGTTGCACGTTCTCTCTTGTACTCTTTAAGCTATGCCTTTGTATATGTTTTCGGGTCTGTGGGGAGGATTCGATTTTCCTTGGAGTTAAGGGGGCCATTGAGTAGGCCTATGCCCTCAGTCAAGGTGCAGCAGAGTGTCCTGAGGCAAAAGGAAACAACCTCCAGATTGGTTGGGTCTTGGCATGTGTGTGACTCAGCCCCTGTGCACTTGACACTGGCTCGTAGGCAGTTGTTTGATCACTGCAAACCCAAATGGTCACTTTGACCTCAGTGATGTAGATATTTCACATTTAAGAAACATCATTTTCAGTCCTGTGTGGTTTCATTGGGAAACTGGAAGCACAGATATTTTATTTTGCACAGTCAAAATTTGAGCTCTGGGGGCGCCTGGGTGGCTCAGTGGGTTAAGCCTCTGCCTTCGACTCAGGTCATGATCTCGGGGTCCTGGAATCGAGCCCTGCATCAGGATCTCTGCTCAGTGGGGAGCCTGCTTCCCTCCCTCTCTCTCTCTCTCTGCCTGCCTCTCTGCCTACTTGTGATCTCTGTCTGTCAAATAAATAAATAAAATCTTCAAAAGAAAAAAAAATTTGAGCTTTTCCATAAATTGGAAGATAGCTTGTGTCTCTCTTGAAGAGGCTACAGTGTATCTAGTCCAGAACTGTGCCAATACTGTAGCCACTAGCCACAGGTGGCCAATCAAACTTAACTAAAATTATGTAAAATTTAAAATGTAGTTTCTTAGACACACTAGCCATATTTGAAATATTTGATAGTTACATGTGGCTAGTGACTAGTGTATGAGAAAGTAAGCCATAGAACATTTCTGCTATCTGGCACTTATCTAAATAGGGGTTAAAAACTATGGCTTATGGGACAAAGCCCACTTATTGCATTTCTTTATAAATAAAGGTTTATTAGAACACAGCCACACCCTGTCATCTGTGTGTTGTCTTTGGCTCTTTTGGGGCATCAGCAGCAGAATTTAATAGCGACAGAGGCCATCTGGTCCTTAAAGTTGAAAATATTTACTCTCTGGCCCATTACAGAGAAAGTTTGCCAAGCCATAGGATTGTGATTTTGTGGGAAGAGGGTTGAGTGGGAATTGAAATGTCCTCTTCCTACCAGTCGTAGTCTGAACAGAACCAGATAGTTTGCTGACCCCTGTTGTAGAACAAGGGTCAATTTGTTTTCACAGTGATTATTCACAATACATGGTTGTCTTGGGTTGGCAATGACACTAGCATTACTAATAATGCTGTGTAATTCTGCTGCTGTGTATTAGGTAGAAGGAAATTTGAGAAGCAAGGCAATCTGTTGTGGTATAACTTGAACTGGGAATCAGGCTTCTTGATGGTTCCTTTCCAGCAGGAAAGAAAGAAAAGTCAGCTCAAAAAGTCTTACTACCTTCCTCTCATTACCTTATACTGATGAGTGCTGTATCCCCCGGCCTTTTTCCCTTTCCTTATACTCTCCCCTGTATCTTACTCTTCTCAAGTTAATGTAGTCTAAATCAGACCTATAAATTTTTCATGAAAAAGACAGTGGTAGCATTATGTGAATAGCTTCTGTCCCATGTTCAATAATTAAAATGACCCAATAAAGAGATGGTGCTTTGAAGTAGAAAAAATTATTCTCTGTGTGCAGAGAAAGTGAGGTGATTTTCTAGTTTCCTGCTTTGAAGTTGGGAGTGTGAGATTAATGATTTTATCAACTGGAAACATCCAAGGAAATTTCTTTTGCCCTTTTTCTTCTTTTAAAATCTTTGTAAATCGAAATGGAGAATGTTATCTAATGATCTCCATCTCTTAGGGGAAGCAGTTGAGGTTGAAATTAGCTCTATTTGTTGGATTATAAGCAAAGGATTTTTGACAGCAGAGTAAAGTACATTAAAGAAATTTTCCTGCTTCTTGGAGAAACAGACAGAAGTAAGAATCTTGCTACCTAACATGTGGTGGATTAGTGAGTGAGTCAGTGAATGAGATATTTTATGTTTTGTTGTGCCCTATAATGAAAGACCTGAGTTTACACTCATATGAAAGATATGGTGCTCATTCTTAGAGGGGGTTATACCTGATAGTTCCTTCCAGTTAGATTCCTGAGTCATTCCTGTAAGCTCTTGCTAAAACAGGAGAGGGCTGTCCCTAGAATGGGAAGAGCATGTTGGCTTATTTGGAAAATTTGTACCATCAACTGGGTTTGGCTACTCTTAGAATATGGTATAAAGGAAAGATACCTCTGGCTTAAGGGTTCATCACTGCAAGGAAGCCGTTTGCTACCAGGGTATTTGGGTTTAGGAGGTGGTAGGATGAAGGGTGGGATGAGGAGTGGAAGGCAACTTGTCTGGGTTTGTGGCTATGTGGCTTGGCTCCTGGGTTGGTTTGTTTTAACTTGTACAAATGCCCAGACGCTTTTTGACATGTGTGCAATAAATCAATGGAATAATAATTACACATACACAGAGATACACCACATAGCTCTTAACATAACATTTTACTTTTTAAAATAGCTTCAAAGGACCCCAAGGCCAAGTTTCTTATTTTGCTACTTCCCTTGATGTTTTCTATGTACTAACTTAGCCCCATCTGCCAACACATTAATTCAGTGGCAGTAGCGATAATCATGAATTGGCTTTTTTAGCACCTTGATTTTTCTAGATTTCAATGAATAATTACCAACATATTCAGAAATTAGGAAGAAGAAAGGCCTAGCTATTTTTCTATGATCTTAAATAAAATGTATGAAGAACACAGCATTTAGAAGTGAGAGATGTATGGACATGCCTTTGCTTCCCCATTATATAATTGCAACATGAATAAAACTTAAACCTGTCTGAGTCATCATGTCTTGATGTATGAAATGTCAGTCACTGTGCCAGCCTAATGCATCTGTCTGAAAAGTGCTTTGACTGCAGGGGGTGCGGGGGTTCGAGTTGTAAATTGTGCTATCATCATTGCTGTTGTTATTATTATTACTATTATATATCAGGATGTTTAGGGAATCCTCTATGTTACTTCTTTTCTTAACATGCATTCTGTTTTTTTTGCCTCTGTGGGTCTCTTGAATTTGTGTGTCTGCATTTATCAGGCTGAGACGTTTATTTTTTAATTGAGTTATATTTTTCTGTCTTAGAATGATACATAGAAATGAAGAAAATATGAAAGTGTCATCTATTTTGTTGTGTCCCCAAATTAAGAGACTTCCTTCAGTTTTCTGGCAGGTCCACTTTTCCCCAGCCCAGCATGATTCCTAAACTGCCAGGCATGACAACCCTTTTGCATGTTTTCTGGAAGATGTGTTATATGACAGTGGCATATAATGCTTGCTCTTATACTCATTTCTGTTCCAAATAGATCAGGGAGGAGTTCTACTTGTTTAAAAATAAACACTTGAGAACTTACTAACAAATATGTAGGGGTTTGTGTTCATAAAGCCAAGGGGCAGCAAACGTAGGTTAGGTTAGTCACATCTCCATAGCAAAGGTCCATAACCTTTTTGTTTTTGTTTTTTAAAGATTTGTTTATTTGAGATAGAGAGAATGAGAGAGCAGGGAGAGGGGGAAGAGCAGAGGGAAAGAATCTCAAGTAGACTCTCCACTGACTGTAAAGCTGATACAGAGCTTGATCTCATGACCCTGAGATTATGACCTACCCCAAATCAGAAGTTGGAGATTTAACTGACTCAGGCACCCAAGCATCCCTTGCTTTTGTTTTTAAAATGTAATCAGTATGGAAGAGAACTTCATGCAATCTATAGGCTCACTTACTAGAAAAATTTACCTTGGCATACATACATTTATATTCACTTGCAATCATGTATATAATTTTAGGCAGTTTACAGATGCCCTGAAGCATTTCCAAGAATTTCCAAGAATTAAAGATTCCTGCTTTGTAGATTCCATGCATTTTTTTCATTCAACACATAATTTTTGAATGATTACTATTGCTGGATATGATGCCTGCCTTTATCCAGCCAACATTTCATTGGGCATATGGATATATGATGGATAACTAACTGATTTATAGTACCATGAATGCTCAGTGATTTCGTTATCACTGGTTGATAATAATTCCACACAAAATCTTAATTGGATTTTATTTTCCTTCTATTGTTTAAAGCAGATAAGGAAAGGAAGGAAAGAAGATAGAAGGAAATACATGTTGA